ATCACTCATATGGACTTCGGAAACAAGCAGGAGTATCCATACTCATATCAAATAAAATAGATTTCAAGCCAAAGTTAATCAAAAGGGATAAAGAGGGACACTACATACTGCTCAAGGGAACCATACACCAACAAGACATAACAATCATAAATATATATGCCCCAAACAATGGTGCAGCTATGTTCATCAAACAAACTCTTCTCAAGTTCAAGAGTCTAATAGACCACCATACAATAATCATGGGAGACTTCAACACACCTCTATCACCACTGGACAGATCTTCCAAACAAAAGTTGAATAAGGAAACTATAGAACTCAATAACACAATTAATAACCTAGACTTAATTGACATATATAGAGTATACCACCCAACAGCAAGCAGTTACACTTTTTTCTCAGCAGCACATGGATCCTTCTCAAAAATAGATCATATATTATGTCACAGGGCAACTCTTAGACAATATAAAGGAGTAGAGATAATACCATGCATCCTATCTTATCATAATGGAATGGAACTGAAAATCAATGATAAAAGAAGGAAGGGAAAAGAATACATCACTTGGAGAATGAACAATAGGTTACTGAATGATCAATGGGTTATAGAAGACATCAAGGAGGAAATTAAAAAATTCTTAGAGATAAATGAAAACACAGACACAACATATCGGAATCTATGGGACACATTGAAAGCAGTTCTAAGAGGAAAATTCATTGCTTGGAGTTCATTCCTTAAAAAAAGAAAAAACCAACAAATAAATGATCTCATACTTCATCTCAAAATCCTAGAAAAAGAAGAGCAAAACAACAGCAAAAGAAGTAGAAGGCAAGAAATAATTAAAATCAGAGCTGAAATTAATGAAATCGAAACAAAAGAAACAATTGAAAAAATTGACAAAACTAAAAGTTGGTTCTTTGAAAAAATAAACAAAATCGACAGACCCTTAGCGATGCTAGCGAAGAGAAGAAGAGAGAGAACTCAAATTACTAACATACGGGATGAAAGAGGCAATATCACAACAGACACTTCAGAAATACAGAAGATAATCAAAAATTATTTTGAATCCTTATACTCCAATAAATTAGAAGATAGTGAAGGCATCGATAAATTTCTTAAGTCATATGATCTGCCCGGATTGAGTCAGGAGGATATAGACAACCTAAACAGACCAATATCAATTGAGGAAATAGAAGAAACGATCAAAAGACTACCAACTAAGAAAAGCCCAGGACCGGATGGGTATACAGCAGAGTTTTACAAAACCTTTAAAGAGGAACTAATACCAATACTTTTCAAGCTACTTCGGGAAATAGAAAAAGAGGGAGAACTTCCAAATTCATTCTACGAGGCCAACATCACCCTGATACCTAAACCAGACAAAGACACTTCAAAGAAAGAAAACTACAGACCAATATCTCTAATGAACCTAGATGCAAAAATCCTCAATAAAATTCTGGCCACTCGGATACAAAAACTTATCAAAAAAATTGTGCACCATGATCAAGTAGGATTCATCCCTGGGATGCAAGGCTGGTTCAATATACGGAAATCAATAAATGTTATTCACCACATCAATAGACTTAAAAATAAGAATCATATGATCATCTCGATAGATGTGGAAAAAGCATTTGACAAAGTACAGCATCCCTTTATGTTCAAAACTCTAGAAAAACTAGGGATAACAGGAACATACCTCAATATTGTAAAAGCAATCTATGCTAAGCCTCAGGCTAGCATCATTCTGAATGGAGAAAAATTGAAGGCATTCCCTCTAAAATCTGGAACAAGACAGGGATGCCCTCTCTCACCACTTCTGTTCAACATAGTTCTCGAAACACTGGCCAGAGCAATTAGACAGACGAAAGAAATTAAAGGCATCAAAATAGGAAAAGAAGAACTTAAATTATCACTATTTGCAGATGACATGATTCTATACCTAGCAGACCCAAAAGGGTCTACAAAGAAACTATTAGAGCTAATAAATGAATTCAGCAAAGTGGCAGGATATAAAATCACACGCATAAATCAAAGGCATTCCTGTATATCAGCGACAAAGCCTCTGAAATGGAAATGAGGACAACCACTCCATTCACAATATCTTCAAAAAAAATAAAATACTTGGGAATCAACCTAACAAAAGAGGTGAAAGACTTATACAATGAAAACTACAGAACCCTAAAGAGAGAAATAGAAGAAGATCTTAGAAGATGGAAAAATATACCCTGTTCATGGATAGGCAGAACTAACATCATCAAAATGGCGATATTACCAAAAGTTCTCTATAGGTTTAATGCAATGCCAATCAAAATCCCAACGGCATTTCTTGTAGAAATAGAGAAAGCAATCATGAAATTCATATGGAAAAACAAAAGACCCAGAATAGCAAAAACAATGCTAAGCAGGAAGTGTGAATCAGGCGGTATAGCGATACCAGACTTCAAACTATACTACAGAGCAATAGTAACAAAAACAGCATGGTACTGGTACCAAAACAGGCGGGTGGACCAATGGTACAGAATAGAGGACACAGAAACCAATCCACAAAACTACAACTACCTTATATTTGATAAAGGGGCTAAAAGCATGCAATGGAGGAAGGATAGCATCTTCAACAAATGGTGCTGGGAAAACTGGAAATCCATATGCAACAAAATGAAACTGAATCCCTTTCTCTCGCCATGCACAAAAGTTAATTCAAAATGGATCAAGGAGCTTGATATCAAATCAGAGACACGCCGTCTGATAGAAGAAAAAGTTGGCTACGATCTACATACTGTGGGGTCGGGCTCCAAATTCCTCAATAGGACACCCATAGCACAAAAGTTAATAACTAGAATCAACAAATGGGACTTACTCAAACTAAAAAGTTTTTTCTCAGCAAAAGATACAATAAAAGAGGTAAATAGAGAGCCTACATCCTGGGAACAAATCTTTACTCCTCACACTTCAGATAGAGCCCTAATATCCAGAGTATACAAAGAACTCAAAAAATTAGACAATCAGAGAACAAACAACCCAATCAACAAATGGGCCAAGGACCTGAACAGACACTTCTCAGAGGAGGACATACAATCAATCAACAAGTACATGAAAAAATGCTCACCATCTCTAGCTGTCAGAGAAATGCAAATCAAAACCACCCTAAGATACCATCTCACTCCAGTTAGATTGGCAGCTATTATGAAGTCAAACAACAACAAGTGCTGGCGAGGATGTGGGGAAAAGGGTACACTTGTACATTGCTGGTGGGACTGCAAATTGGTGCAGCCAATTTGGAAAGCAGTATGGAGATTTCTTGGAAAGCTGGGAATGGAGCCACCATTTGACCCAGCTATTCCCCTTCTCGGTCTATTCCCTAAAGACCTAAAAAGAGCATGCTACAGGGACACTGCTACATCGATGTTCATAGCAGCACAATTCACAATAGCTAGACTGTGGAACCAACCTAGATGCCCTTCAATGGATGAATGGATAAAAAAAATGTGGCATTTATACACAATGGAGTATTACTCTGCATTAAAAAATGACAAAATCATAGAATTTACAGGAAAATGGATGGCATTAGAGCAGATTATGCTAAGTGAAGCTAGCCAATCCCTAAAAAACAAATGCCAAATGTCTTCTTTGATATAAGGAGAGTAACTAAGAACAGAGTAGGGTCGAAGAGCATGAGAAGAAGATTAACATTAAACAGGGATGAGAGGTGGGAGGGAAAGGGAGAGAGAAGGGAAAATGCATGGAAATGGAAGGAGACCCTCAGAGTTATACAAAAGTACATACAAGAGGAAGTGAGGGGAAGGGGAAAAATAATATAAGGGGGACAAACGAATGTCAGTAGAGGGAGCAGAGAGAGAAGAGGGGAGGGGAGGGGAGGGGAGGGGAGGGGGGATAGTAGAGGATAGGAAAGGCAGCAGAATACAACAGACACTAGTATGGCAATATGTAAATCAATGGATGTGTAACTGATGTGATTCTGCAATCTGTATATGGGGTAAAAATGGGAGCTCATAACCCACTTGAATCAAATTGTGAAATATGATATATCAAGAATTATGTAATGTTTTGAACAGCCAACAATAAAAAAAAAAAAAAAAAAAGAAAAGCTCACTTTGTTCTTGGATTGTTCCCTAGATCCTTATGACCCTTTATATAATTATTAAATTTTCTTTTGTATAATTAATATATTTTCACTTCATTAGAGTCAGTCTCTGGAGTTTTAGCTATTTCCTTTGTTTGGATTTTTGCCTTTTTTCTTTATTTTCCTTGAATATCTTCGTATCCTCACATTAGGGGAAAAATCCCTACTTCTTCAATTTGTGTATAGACCTTCATCAGTCAGTGAGGCCAGAACTTCTGTGTACCTCTTAAATCTTTGTGGTGGTCTAAACGATTGTTTTTGTTTTAGTGGCCGGCCCCCAGATATCTAGAGTATAGTCAGTTTCATCAGTGCCCCTAGACACATTTTCATACAGATGCCATTCCTTTAGTAGCTCCTGGAGAAGTTGGAATGCTGGTTGTATAATCTATCTCTTTTCCTCCCCTCAGAGAAGCTAGGAGCCAGGATTTTAAACAATTCCCATTTTCTTGAGCTTTTAATCCCAGGGCAGGATCCTTGGTGCATACCTGCATGGTAGTTCAAGCTGCCACTTTGTTCTCTATCATCTGTGGGATATCATATGCCAGACCCAGTCAGCTCTCTGAAACAGTTGAGAAAAAAATCCAGTCTTTCAGGTTGCTCCTAAAAAAGTCGGAGTATTAGATATGTACTCCAGTTCCTTCTTTCCTCAGATAGAAGCTGACACTTGGAGTTCTGTCTGTATCCTATAGTACTGTGCTAGGAGTGGGGATTAGTATGTCTTGTCTTTAAGGTCATCAAAATTATATTACTTTCATATTTTCCCACCTAATATTTTCTTTACAAAATGAAAATGTTGGTAATCAGTTCCTCCAGCTAAACTAACCCACTAACCCACTTTTATTTTTTTATTTTTGTCTATTCAAGGTTCTGGTGTGGGATGTATAACCGCTTTGACAAAGGCCTGCAGCCCAAACAGAGTATGCTAGAGAGCCTCCTGGAAATTAAGAAACAGAGAGCAATGCTTGAAGCAGATGTGTATGAACTAGAAAAGGTAAGGAGAATGGTCCCCAAAAAGAGATTCTCTTGCCCCTTATTAGTAGGTCTAGTCTGTTTGGAGTTGAATTGATACTTATAGAATGCTACCTGGCTGGCTTATTATACTCTCTGACTTCTAAGTGTCCTGTGTCTAAAAAGCTCAGGATATAATGCCTTTTGTTTCCATACCATGGTAATTATCTCAATGAGCTAGTTAAACAAGTAGATTGGTTTTTTATTTGTATCTGGACAGAATGATTAGGTGGAACAAGAAGGAATAACAAGAAATCAGTTTGTGGCACTTTATATATTGTATTTCCTTATATCCTTTAAAGAAACTTGTTAGGTATGGCTTCTGTTTATAGAAGAAATAGAAATTTAGAGAACTTAAGTAACTCAAATTCATATACTTATAAGTTGAAAACTAGGGTCTATCCTGCATCTTCTAACTGGCAAAGTCTTTCACCTGTCTACTACCTCATGCTCTGTCTAAAGGATATTTTCACTTTCAGGGATAGAACATTGATATATTAATACTTTACAACAGTGATTCTTTGAATCATACACCCCTTTAAAATATGAAGACAGTGGCAGATATTTCCCTCGAAAACTTTGGTATATACGTGCATTATACAAGTACATGCAATTTTAAGCATAATTTAAGGGGGTCAACAGACTCTGAAAGCCCATCTATGAGTTTATGAACTCCAGTAAGAGCTTTTGCTTTATTGTACAAGAATATAATTTTTATTTTACTGGAACTCATAAAATCACAGTGATTTGTAATAAAAATGGTGATAATCCTTGGAGAGAGGTATTGTATAGTTTCATTTCAACATTTCATTTTATATTTTATTGTATTCTATATTTTCTATCTTTACAGTTTTATTGCCTTTTAAAAACATAGCAACAGAGTTGTCTGAGTGATAATATTAAGCACCATTTTAGTTTTTCTTCTCTGTATTGAAAAAAGAAAGTAACCTAAAAAAAAAAAACACACGCACACACACTATATACACACACACACACGTGTGTGTGTGTGTGTGTGTGTGTGTAACCTTTACAGGAAAACTTCACAGAGTGATCTGAGCCTACTGGAATGAATGAGTCTCTCTCAGGAATCAGAGAAATCAGTTAAGGATAAGTGAGAGGGCTAGATTCAGAAAAGGATACCTGTTCTGGGTGGGACCTTTTGGAAAAGTCTGTGAATAATTAAAAGGGGAGGAAGAAACCCTAAGAAATTTCCCTACTTCTCAATTCTGTTTAGGGCTGCTTGTTTCCTATGATTTTAAATCATGCTTGAGTTCCCCCTTTGTTTTTGTTTATTTTTAATGCAACCAAGTAGCTGGCTATTGGGGCCCAAGAATGCTTTCAAAAGTTTGGGGTCTGATACAATCACAAATAAAATTGGATACAATCACATGTGAAAAATGTATTTTCACAATAAAAGGATATTCACTTACTTATATGGAGCAAAAAAATATCTGACTTATCTGGCCTAAATGGGTTCACACCAGGTTCCTAAACAACACACCCTTTCCAAGAATTCTTTTCTAAAATGTATCCCTCCCCTCTGTCCTTCAAATAAACCCTTAGGGACCCTAGATTTCATAAGCAGCTCAGAATTTTGAATATTTTGAAAAGAGATCCTTGTTGATGTGTTTAATGTATAATTAAAAACAAGTGTCCATCTTTGGTTCTTCTGGTATTGTAAAGCCAAATCAACAAACATAATACAGCTATTCAGTGATCAGAGTTTGCAGTCTGCATGGGAAGGAAATAAAAAAATCTTCTTTGATAACAATTTTCCTAATTGGAAATATACCAATTTCATTGTTCTTATAAGTATACTCAAGGTGTTATAGTTATTCTATTGGTGGATGACAACTGACAATGTGATTTCCCTGTCACTTATTCCCTTTGTTCCACCTAATCATTTCCCCAAGATCCAGATGCAGGGTCAGACCCCAACTTTCCACTTTCTAAATAAGTGAATTTGAGTGACATGCTTTAACTTCTCTGAGCCTCAGTTTCCTCATTTGTAAAACACAGGTATTATTTAATAAACTAATGATTTTCTTATATAGAAAGGAAATATTTTATGTAAAGTGCCTATTTACATGGAGGCATGTAACATTAGTGATCTTCTCCTTTGCCTTCCTCAATCCCAGAAATAAATTGAATTTATAATATTTATCATAAAAGAGAACTTTTATACATATGACTTTTGAGTTTCTTTTCTGATAGAACTTTTTAAAAGCACAATGACAAGTTATGAAGAAAAGATGTTTGAGAGGGCGGGCGCAAACAATAATTTTCTACCATAAAAGTGATAGCAGCAAGATCCTTGCTGGTTGATGTGATATTTGCCCAGATTTTTGTTTCCTGTTTCTAATTCTTTTCAACCATTCCTTGCTCCTGAAACAGAAACTGAAAGCCCATGATGAGCCACCAGAAGAGGTCTGTACCTGCTCTCAATTAGGGAATTTACTGTGCCAGCATCTAGGAAGTCCTTTGGCCAATCCTCTGGGCTTTATGGGTATTGATGGAGACCTAAATACATTGATGGAGAATGGCACTCTGTCCAGGGAAGCAGGCCTCCGAGCTCAGATGGATCAAGCAAAAAGCCAGTGTACAGACCTCCGCCATGACTGTTGTGGGATCATAGGTAGCCTTAGGGCCATAAGTATCTCTGAGGATGTGCACATCTCTGGAGACATAGGCACCTCTGCAGCCACAGGTATCTCTGATGATATGGGCATCTTTGGGGCTATGGGCTTCTCTGAAGATGTGGGCATCTCTGAGGTTACTGACATCCCTGGAAAAATGAATATTTCTGAGGCCACGGGATTCTCTGGAGGCATGGGTTTCTCTGATGGCATAGGCACCATGGAGGACTTGGGCTTCTCTGAAGACACAGATATCTCAAAGGTCAGCACCAAGGAGTCAGGCTACTCTAAGCAACAGTGATCTAGCTACTCATATGCTTCTCTGCTAGGGGCACCTGTAGCAACCACAGAGATCTTTGTTCCATACAGGGCTATGCTGCTTTTCTGGTTGGTTTAAATGTGTGAGACCAGGGTACCCTTTTTCCTACTTAGAGTCTGGAAAAAGACTTAGGGCCTTTACTGATTAAATGATCGCTATACACATGTTGTTAAGCAGTCCAGAATATGAGAAAATATGTTATTGTTATAAAATGGGATTTAACTTTAGAAATATTTCCCTTTAGCTGCTTATTAGGCTGGTTATATTATTTTCCTTAACAATCAGCCTCTCTTTCCACCCTTGCTTCTCTAACCTGAGAGCACAGTAGAAAATCACAATCCAGTTGAAGGGATAGAGAGATGTTATGCAACAGACAACTGAATTACAGAATTTTATAAAAATGTACTCTCAGATATGCCTGGTCATGGGATGCTAATATTGCCAATAGAGACCCCAACATTTGTGTGATAATAAATCAAAATGATCCTTAATTGTTAGCATGAGTGCATGGGTGCTTGGAGGTTTAAAATATACAAAGAATGTTTTCTTAAGCCATAACAGTTGCTCTCCCCAGCCCACACCCCAGCTTGGTCTCATTATAATACTCATCTAGCCAATCTGCTATATTGTAGATATCCTGTAGGTAAATTTGAGTCCATTACAGGCTAAAATGATCAATTACAAATTAACAGGGTCTGAGTTAATACTGCTTAATAGCATTCTCAGCATCAGTTCAGAAAGCAACTGATAATCTGAGTGCTCTGTCCCTGTCTAAGACATGGTCTGTGTGCTTATCTGGGATTTTTTTTAAACAGGCCCCTTCTTAGGATTTTTTTAAAGAGAGTGAGAGTGAGAGCAAGAGAGAGAGAGAGAGAATTTTTTAATATTTATTTTTTAGTTTTCGGTGGACACAACATCTTTATTTTTTTTTTTTTTATTTTCATGTGGTGCTACAGATCGAACCTAGCACCCCGTGCATGCCAGGTGAGCGTGCTACCACTTGAGCCACATCCCCAGCACAGGATTTTTAAAATAAAGACCAGTTGTTTTGCTTATGGAGATGTTACATAAAACTTGTGGATTTTTGGATACAATCAGCACTGTTTTTTAAATCTCATAGGTTTCTCACCTTATACACTTTTTAAAAAGTCTATTCTTAGAGCTGGTCCACATACTCCCATGGGCAAGGGTATATTCTTGTTGTCTAAACACAAGATTTTCCCCTTGGTGTTGGTACATTTGTTGGTTTTTCATCTTCCCTATTGGATATTCAGTCATAGTTTTGCCATTTCCACATGCTGGGGGTGGGTAGGGTAGGCCTTAGGCAATTAAAAAAAATTGTCAGTTGGCCATTATTTTATTTATATGTGGTGCTGAGACTCAAGCCCATTGCCTCACACATGCTAGGCAAGCTCTCTACCACTTGGCCTCAGGCAATTTTAATCATGATCTACATATAGTCAATATTTCCAGAACTACCAAGGCCAATGGAATCCACATCTTTAACCATACTATCTATTCCAAGTACTCTGTATCTGGTTTCAGCTCAAAAATTCAATTTCTGTTGACTATCAAATTAATTTGTGAATACATAAAGTATCTAAAGGATCACATTATTAGGTGCTTTTCTCTGAAAGAAAGAGGTGTCTTTCAATTTAAGTATGTAATTAAATAGCAGAAGACAGTCACCAGAGTAGCTCCTTGATTTCTTACATAGAGCTATTTGATGGACCCAAAACAACTTTCCTTTTCAGAGGAAAAATTCTAAATCATTTTGGTTGTCTTTTTTCATATTTTAAATGAGAATCATTTTTCTATTTACCTCCTCTTGGTAGCTGTTTTAATTCTGTGTATTTAAAGAACTCTAATTTGTGTCTTTCCCATTCATAAATAGGGACCATTTTTCTACTTACCTCTTCTTGATAGTTGCCTTGATTATATAATTTTAAAGCAACAAGATGTATCTTCTCTGATCCCCTTCTTTCTATAATTTGGTCTTTGGCTCATACAACCTAAATTACCAAATGTTGCCTGCTGCCATTTGGCTTCTTACTTCTGGGGGAATTATATTTCTGTACATCAGTTTGATGTGGAAGCTACATGTAACCCTGGTTTTGTGGAGGAATTTGTCAAAAAGGATGACAGTACCAGTCTGTCACAAGTGAGGCTATTCCAGTCGTGCTTTACACCCAGGGCTTTCTCCCTTATCTCAACCTGTATTTTTAGTGCATTAACTAGCATGACACACCAGCTATAACTTGTTGAGGTTTTTGAGGGGGCAGAAGAAATGGGAAAATGGCAAGATGCAAATCCTTTGCAAATCCTTTCAAAACGTATTTTATGATCTCAAATTTATTTGCAAAGACCTGTAAAAGGTACTATTCCAACATAATTTATTTGATCCAAAATAAAACTATCCAATAGTGAAAAGGTTTTTCAATACAACTCTAAACTCAGAATTGATAAATAGCAACTCTAATGTTTCCAAAAGCAAAAACAAAAATTTTACAAAAATTGTCTTATTCCATTGACTATCTAAGGCCATGGAATCAATTTCAGCCTCAAGATCTGTGAAGTCAATTTGTTTTATCTTTTTGTTGTTGTTTTTATTTACCAACATGTCTCATTATTACTTGTATATAAGCAAAATCTTGTGAAAATTTTGTATTTTTTCTCATCACCAACTACTTCCCTTGTTTTACAATTGGATTTGAAAATCTGAGAGAAAAATGTTCAGTGGAATCCAAACACTAATTTGCTGGTAAAATCCCAATGGCTATCTCTACTCAGGAGACCAGGAATAAAGTGGAAATTCCTGAAGTAAATTGCCAGGGTTACTAGAAAAGATGATATATTAATGGCTTTCATTTCATATTCTCATATAACACAAGCTGAAAAAGAAATATGACCCCTTCCCCCACTCTCTTACGCTTCCAGTTTCCCAAGCAGAAATTCCATTCCCATATGACTGCCCTACTTAAATAGGAAGGCATTTAAACCACCTGCCACTGTCTCATCTACTAACCTGACCTCTGTCTCTTTCCCATACAAGTTTTACAGGCCTAAGGTCACTGCTTATCTTTTCCAAGCGTGCGTCAGGTTCAGTTCCTATGCTGCTGACCATGCTCAGGTTCTGCATGAACACCCTTTCAAAAACTTCATTAATTCTTTACTTAATTAATGACATGATATATTTATCACAAAATAAATACAGTAATACTAAATAACAAACTTAAGTAACAGCTAACAGCTGTTTTAAAGAAGAAATTCAGGAATAGGGTCCAGTGTATGAAAGAAAAACTGAAACTGTCTAGAACTAATACCAAGAATGTAAAACTTATGGTGCATGTGTATGGCACATGTATCTTTGGTATATCACCTTAGAAATTATGTTTACTTATCACCAAGTCAGTTGCCATTGCCTGCCAATATGCATGGACTACCTTTTGTCTGCGATGCACCTCACATATCACATGAAGTGAGACCTTTTCTGAACATTTCCATCTAAAGGGATACAAGTCTTTTTAAAAGGTGCTTTTCATAAATATTTAAGTGTGGCCTGGATTTAGCTGAAAAAGAGGTTAATAACCTAGGGTACTTGTGTCATATCTTTGTTACATACTAGCTTTTTTTAAAACACCACACTTTTCTTAATATTGTTAGGTTTTCATATGTCATTTGAGAATCTTTCTATGAGAGTATTTTATAAAGTGTCCTTTCTTCAAACAGTTATGTAGTAAAATGTAAATTACCCTTAAGAAAATTATTTCCCTCAAAAGAGATTGACCATTTTCTATATAGGTTTATACTTAGAAAGATTGTTCTTACTTTCTCTCTTAGTTCCCAGTGATTTAATATCCATACCAAAACTTTCCCCCATCCTCATACCTCTTCTTCTCAGAATTCTATGGAGGATATAAGCTGATATTGATTTCAACCAAATCTGGTTGTTTTCTTCTAATTGCCAAATCTAGAAATGACTTTTGATATAAACATTTTAAAAGAAAATAGACATGGCTTAAGCCTTAAGTTTTTTTCCTATGGCATTATCTTTTTATATGATGTGAATAAATAGATGGCCTGTCAGAAAACACCAACACATAAAGAAAAAGGGGAAAGATTTGGGATCATAAAGGACTCTTATCCTTTTAAAGGTAATTCTGTTTTTGAAGTACTTGATGGCAACACAGAGGTTTTTCCAAGGGGGAAATACTACTTTCCTAGCCATATAAAAGATATCTTCTCTGATTCTCCAGCTGTAGAACTGAAAATATATGCCTTCCTCTTAAATAGGAATTAGTGGTACTGTCACCCATTCATGGTAGTCCACATCTCCTTTAGATGTCAGTGCAAGTAAAAGTGTGTTACATGATATGTGATTTGTGACTTGAATTCACAAAAGACAACTGTGCTTTGAAGGAAGCTAATTTAGCCCTGTGTGTCTTGAAGAGGCTGAACAAATAATGTTCAGAAGTTGGCCTATGAAAAACCAGTAGCTCCCATGTTAAGTCTAGCACCCTGTCCCTCAGTGTTTTCTAAAGCTTTGGGAATGAACTAGAAGCTTATTTTTTCCAGTGTTTTTATGCCTTTCAACCATTTTTATGGTTTTATACTCTTTTTAGAGGACCCTACACCAGCCATCACAGAATCCCAGTTAGTGGAAAAGTTTGTTGGGAGAGAAGAGAGGGTCATACAGAAATGCAACTGGCCAGTTAAGATTTCATGTGCTCCTTAAAATATTATTACTTGCAAAAAAGTCCAAAAATGATCTTTTCCAGGAAGTGCTGTGACTGATATATTTTCTTTTAAGGCTATCCTTTATTTACGCTGATAGAAATTCAAGAATGCTATGAATAGTGATTTCCATCCATAGTTTTCTATGCTGCAGGGTTTTCTTTTCTTTTAGAGAGGCAAGGATGGTGGGTGGCATTTTCTTCCTTAAAATGTGCACAAAGCAGATTATTTCTGAGCCTCTTCTTTGCTTCTGGAGCTGCAGTATCTTTGGGCCCCTTATCAGTCAGGTAAGAATATGTACACCAAAATCACTAGATGATTACTGTTCAAGGACACATATCTCTAGTCACATGTCACAGATAATTGGCCATGTCAGTTCATACATAAAGGATCTGCAAGTGTCCACCTCACTCATATTTACAGACAAGGTGGTTTGCATTTTTTGTATGTACCAGTGGGAATGCAGAGAACATATCCTAATTCTGAAACAGAGAATGTTCTGTATTCTTGTTTAACAGTGCCTCCGGCTTACAAACAGCTACCAAGTTCAATCCTTTTGGAATATAACTCATAGTATGACTATTAGTATATGTATGTGTTTACTTAACTTTAGTAGCATCTGCTCTCATGGTCATTTGGACATTCAGGTGAAGAAAATTTGTTCATGAATAAAAAAAAAATTAGTGCTAAACTTTCAACTTTTATATTGTCCACCAAAGTGTCATGAGGACTTTTAGACATGTCAAGCCAGAGATACAAACCAAAGTGAAGCAACTAGACTTCTCTCTGGGATGTATATATCAGGCAGCTTTAGGAGTAGGATTCATATTTATGACCAGTTTAATCTGTGGAGTGTTAATGTCAGCCACATAGTGTGGACATCAAGCAACTCAAGTGTAATTCAGAATTCTATGTAGGTTCTTTGAGGAGCTGACTTTTCATTAGCTTCAGATTTATAGAATGACAGTCACATCAGCTCAAATTTGAATTTTTCAAGATATAGTAGTGTAATGATTGATTTTAACCTTCCTGTTGTGTATTATCCTGAGCTGTTTGTTGTACAGTTGGGGTATGAATATGTGAACCAGTCAGGATGTTCACTGCCAATTGTTTTGTCTAGTGCCACAGAGTTCACTGGCCCCTCTCTGCAGTTGTGTTCCACTTTGAAAATGTTTGGTTTGTTTATATTTTTGTCCAAAATTAAAAACCTTCAATCTTTTGTGTGTGAGAAGTTGCTGTATATTTGCCATAAATAAAAGAAATAGTGGCAAAACCTCCCCCAATTGGTACCGTGGACTAGCTTCACCAGATGAACCACCTTACAAACAGAATCTATAAATAGGTTCAAATATGCCCTGTTGATGTTAAATTAAGATATGACAGGCATCAGAGAGGGAACCTGGTTCTGAACAGCACTGGGGAGGGCATGTTCTGTCATGGACCCTCTGTGAAGACAAGACCAACACTGCCTTAATTCACAAAAGCATGCTAATGGAGCACGAGCCGTTTTGTTCACATTGGGAGCAGAAATGATGAGGGACCAGGCGCTTCATCTCTCTTTAGAGCCTCCAGCAAGAATTCTCATACATGGGGCCTCACAACTCAGGAGTTCTTTCCTCTAGGCCTCAAAAGAGTCCCCCAACCCCCTGCTTCCCCAGCAGTGCTTTTCTCTCTAGGAATCTCATGTCTAGGGTCTCCTATATGGAACACAGAAACTTGAGTTCTAGTCTGGCTCTGCCATTTACTAGCTATATGGCCTATTCCAAGTCAATTCCTAGCTGTGAATCTCAAAGCCCTCATCTATAAAATGGGAGAAATGTGTCTACCATATGGGACAATTGTGCAGATTACTGAGCTAACATATAAAGTGACCATGTAAATTCCCTGGAACTTAAAAAAGTCAAAAAACATTAGCCTCTTCCTACTTTTCAGCCCTGATGCTACTGATTAAACTGACAAATTCCTTTTCCTCAGCTCCACTTAGCTCCCTTCCTACTCTTGACATATTGTCTTTAAACAGATTACGATACAAGATGGTTATAACATAATGAATAAGGCTATGATTTTTTTTTATAATTAACCAAAATATCTGTGTTCATTGTAGAAGTTTGTGAAATTGGTGAACTGGAAAAAAGTAATAATTCCTTTATGCAGAGATAAATCCATATGCATATACAGAGAAACAAAATAGGATCATACTGTACAATCATATAATAGTCTCACAATTTTGAACATCTTTTCATTTCAATAAATATGAGTCTCTTCTTTTAATTGTCACAAAATATTTCACTATATAAGCTATAGTTTATTCAATCATCCCCTTATTACTGACAAGGTTATGATTGTCTTCTATATCAAATTTCAATTTGCCTCCATGAATATATCCTATTTTTCTTCATGGAAATGTAGCAAAGTGTCATGAAGACTTTTAGACATGACAAGCCAGAGATACAAACTAAAGTGAAGCAACTGGACTTCTCTCTGGGATGTATATATCAGGCAGCTTTAGGAGTAGGATTCATGTATATGGACTAGTTTAATCTGTGGAGTGTTAATGTCAGCCACATACCTTTGTTGACATCACAGGACTTACTAACTTGAGACATCCTCTTACCTGAAGTGACCTATACAGATGGTTAATTTCATCCATTCTGAGAGGATTTTTTAACAAAAAAAAAATCCATAATTTGAGCTCCAATTTTTCATCATACTTTACACAGAATATGAGGCTGAACTTGGAATCTCTTCACTGTACAGTCCCCAGGTAACCCACTATTTTAACTGTGGCCAAAGGCATGGCAAGCTGGGAACCCTGAAATCAACTTAGTCCATAGTCTCCTGTAACTCCTTAAAGGCCTTGTTTCATAGGGGAAAAGGGTCAAGAGAATTCCCTAAATGAGGAATCACTTCTGGTTGAGTCTCAAACTCCCAACTTGCTGTGTTTCTTTATTTCTGAAGTAAGAATAATCTCTATCCTGCTAGTTTCATCCTGTGATTTTCACAACCAAGGGAAATTATAACTGCAAAATTCCTTTGTAAATTTGGAGGTATTTTTCAAATATAAATTGGAGATGTTTGTTTCAGTCTAAAAATTCTGTCCAACTGAACTAGAACTACCATACAGAAGCAAGTGAAAAGATAAGAATTGGCAGTGTCCTTTAGATTTCAGGGGAATATATCACTTGGGCATTTGTGAATCACACGTCTAGGTACATGTCATAGTACATTTAAAAGGCTCCATCATTTCTCTAAGCTTCTGTTGCCTTATATGTAAAACAGGTGGTTTGAACTCGATGATTTCTAGGAAAATATATTAACTCCCTATTGAGTGGTTCATCTTCCAGGCTTTAAGGATGTGTGTCTGTGTGTGTGTGTCTCTCCAAATATATAAGCAAGGATGTGTGTGCCTGTGTGTGTGTATATGTGAATACACACACACACACACATATAACCCCTCAAATGGGTACAATAGCTGAAGTCCTGTGTCAAGTCACTAAGCTAGTATATAAGCTATTGGAACCTAGTACTTAACAAACATAGTGTCTCTCTTCAGAATATCATACTATTAAATCATATTGATTGAACCTCCAGTACAAACAAGAAAGGATACATTCATTTCTCCTGTTCATTCCCACTAAATACAGTTATGAAGTCCAGGAGTAATTCAAGAGGCAGCTAAAAGAAAACTCCAAAATGAAAGTGGTAAGAATGAGAACTGGTTTGGGACCCTAGGACTGGAGTAACAACATAGCAGCAGGGTAAAATCTAACCTAACCCTAAAGGAAATCTAACCCTAAATCTAATCTAACCCTAAAGGAAATACCCATCTGGATTGCTTTCTGTATCACCAGACAGAAAGTAATCCAGGTTGGATTTTTCCTGATATCCAATATAACAATAGAAGGCAGCCCTCCCCCAGATCAAAGGCTCATTCCTCCACCAAATCCAAGGACTCTTCCCTACATAGAGAAGCCAGCAGCATCAGCAAGGAGGATTGATCAATGCCTCCACCACCCACACTGAAAGCAGTGAAAAACTTTCCATCTCTACCCTTTCCCACCTAGAAACATGGGACAGCCAGAAGACATCAGCAACAGAGGCTCTGCCACAATAAGCACTCATTTAGGGAATCCTCTCCATCTCCAAACTGTTAAACAGGACCAGACATGGGACTTCGTTGTCCCCACAGTACTGAGAACCCCATCCCTGACCAAGAAACACTGAGACAAAGAAAGGCCTTCCTTCCCCTCAGGCTACACAGCAGAAAACAGGAAGAACCCCAGTGATAAGCAGATAAACAAATTAGACCAAAATAGCACCCAAAAATTTCTAAAAACTAAACTTCCATTGGAACCACAGCTGACGAAAGTAGTTTTATAAATCATAATTGATTAAAAACTGAAATGCCATATAATAATTTTAAAAGTAGGGAGGAGAATGGGACCTAAATGGATTTAAGTTTTCTATACTTCAAAGAGTGGTAAAATGTTAGTACTCAGACTGTGATAAATCGCATACATATATTTTCATCATTTTACAACCATCACAAAATGATACAAAGACACCCACTAATAAAACACTATAAATCAAGATGGGATCCTAAAAATGTTCAAGTAATGTACAGGAAGGCAAGAACAAAAACAAATATTGACAATGATTTGTAGAATGGATTAAAAAGAAACCCCTAGGGCTGGGGATATAGCTCAGTTGGTAGAGTGTTTGCATCGCATGCACAAGGCCCTGGGTTCAATCCGCAGCACCACACACACACACACACACACACACACAAAAAAAATACTATTGTAATTGTATATAATATATAAGAAAATCATTTAAAATTCTGTGTCATAGGTAGATTTAAAGTAAAAGGGTAAAATAAAGATTCCTGTATTGATATCTAATAAAAATACACTAAAGGAAAGGAAATTACTAGAAAAAGGGACAACAATGATTATAGGATAAATCCACCAGACAGAGCTAATGATCTTAAGATGAGTACAAAACCAACAACAGAAACTCAAAATATGTAAAACAAAAATTTATAACAGCCCTTTGAAATTAATGTTGCTTCCCAACTACCTAATAACTGCTTTTTTGCATCTGCATCTTCCTCATGCTGAGCACAGAAACTGAGAAAGTTATCCCCTGGCCTGAATGAACATTAATGAAACAAACTATGACATACTTCTGACCAGGATAGCTTAGCTAAACCTATGTATATATTTCCTGCCTTTTATTCCACTGTACACTTTACTCTTAAAAAAGCTGTTATTTGCCCTTGTGTCCCCACTTCCAAGATGAAGGTTTGAGACACAAAATATCTCGAACTTCCTCAAATTGGCTTGAATAAACCTGTTTTCTTTCACCAACTTCTGTCTCCCTAGCTTAGTAAAGTGATAAGCAATAGAACCTTTAATTCCAGGTGACAAACTGAGAGAAGTAAAATGAGAAATAGAAAAACCCACAGTTATAGTTGGGAACATTGACATTCACTTCTCAGCAACTGATAAAACTACAAGAAAATCATCAAAGCTATAGAGCTGAAAAATACAATGGACTAACAGGATCTAATAAATATATATATATATATATATATATATATATATATATTGACCATTATGCCCAACAATAGCAGAATACATATTTTTTTCAAGCTCTGATAGAACAATTAAAGGAATGATAATCATACAGACTACGCATTATGACCACAATATGCTAAAACTAGAAATTGATAACAGATAATAGTAAAAATCTCTATAGACATTTCTACATAATCCACCAGGTCTCAAAGGAAATTGAAAATCACATCAAGGGCTTCCTGTTTGTAGTTCAGCATGTAAAAAGTTTGGAACTTGCACTCTTATTCAAATAAGAGCTAAACAAAGGAAATTAACATAATTCTTAAGTCCATTAGAGAATTGAGTTCACAGGAAAAACTATTGCCCCTGAAATTGGAGAGATAGAGAAAGCACAGAAGAATTTACCAGATTAGAAATCCATGAGCAGATCTCTCCAACAAGAACTAGTACCAGAGTATAACAGCTTAATCTTTAATTAAAGAATTATTGGAGATTTGGCATGTGGACACACTTGAGTTAAGAAGAAAAAATAACATTTCAAGTCAAGAGCTCTATTGTACAGGATAGTCAGTATAGTTAATAATGATATGCTGTATTCTTGAAAAAAATAAAAAGAATTGTGTTCCCACCATAAAAATGA